ACAAGAAATCTATCAATCTCAGTCTTGAATATGTTCAAGGACTGAGCATCTACAGCCCTTTGAGGTAGAGAATTCCATAAATTTTCTCTGAGTGAAGAAGTTTTTCCTCAGCTCAGTGCGAAAGGGCTTACCCGTAATTCTAAGACTGTGACCTCTGGTTATAGTTTCTCCAACCAGGGGAAAAAGTCTCCCACTATCTATTCTGTCGTGCCCCTTTATAATCCTATAGGTTTCTATAAGATCACCTCTAATTCTTCTATATTGTCGAGAATATAGGCCTAAATTGCTCAACCTATCCTCATAACTCATCCCCCTCATCACAGGTACCAACCCAGTGAATCTACGTTGTACACCCTCCAAGGCGAGTACATCCTTTCTTAAATAAGGAGACCAAAACTGCATACAATACTCTAGGTACGGTCTCACCAGGGCCCTATACAGTTGCAGCAAGATTTCCCTACTCTTATATTCTAACCCTTTTGTAATAAATGCCAACATACCGTTAGCCTTCCTAATTGGTTGCTGTACCTGCAAACTAACTTTTTGTGACTGGTGTACAAGGACACACAAGTCCCTCTGAACGCTAACACTATCTAGTCTCTCCCCTTCTAAAACATTTTTTTTTTTTTTTTACACAGCTGTGCTTCACCAATTATTGATAAAAGACTCAAAGCTGGGGAAGAGGTGTCCGTCTCACTGAAACATTGCCTGTCTCTGCAACTACCTCTCCCATCGAGCAGCCATGATCTGAATCCACGCTTTTATCACATCCATATTTGTCACCCCCATCCTCACCCGGCTTCACTGGCTCCCTATCCCCTATCAGATTGAGTTCAAGATTCTCATTCACACTTTTCAATCCCTCCACGGTCTCGCTGTACACTACCTCACCAAATGTCTTAACCAAACTATCCCGGCCACCTATTCACACGCTTGCTTCATATCCCTGCCATATCCATTGCATCATCAATGATCGGGCTTTCAGCCATTCTGGCACTTCTTTTGGAACTTCATCCCAGAGACCTTCTGACTGATTCCCTTCCTCATCTCTTTCAAGACAAGTCTCAAAACTTGTAGTGTTATAGGTCCAGCTGGGATACAGAAATTATAATAGGTTAAGCCATATACAGGAATATACATACAGGTATAGCTACTGCACCAAATGTAAACACATGACAGCGGTCCTCTGAAGGTTAACCATTGTTGCATTGGTCACATCGGGGTTCAGGTCAAGTTCCTTGTTCAAATATGCTGGATTTTACCATAATAAAAGTTGAGTAAAAGGCTTTCAGTAAATCTGTTAATTCCCAAACCTGATGCGTTGTCCTTTATCCCTCTTGAGTATTGCCTTACAAAGCTGAACCTTCTGACTTTTTGGTAAATGCCAGTTTTATTTACAGGAAATTAACATCAAATAATGTTTCAACAGATGAATATCTTAGATAAGGTCAGTCAGGTATTAGAGATCAGAAAAGAACACCTGACTTGAACATCTAGATAAGTAAACAGAACAAGAGGACACAGGTTTTGAGTTGCCAAGTGCAATTTCAGGACAGACACCAGGATGTATTTCATAACCCTGACAATAATTAACTACTGCAACATGTTACCAGAAAGAGTGGTTAAAGCCAGGTTGCTTGACACATTTAAAAAACAGCTTGATGCTGTGATGTGATCGGAGGGTTGGTATGGTGTGTGTTCTAAAAAGATGAGATCAAAAAATGAAATAATATCAGTGAAAGAATCCCTTTATTTTGAACTTGAAGAAGGCAGAGCTTCGGCCTTTGTTTTAAGTTTCTCCCGAGCAGAGAAAGGAGTTTCTCGTAATGTCCTTTATCTCATCCTCACCTTCCAGGCCCTCCATGGCCTTGACCCCTCCTACCTCTCTTAATTATTATTACCTACCAACCCCTAATCAATCTGTTTGCTCCCTCTGCTCAGCATGTTCCGGCCTGCTCCATTTCTCCCAATCGGCCCGCCCCACCATCGGCAGTGAAACCTTCAGCCTCACTGCTCCCACCCTCTGGAACACCATCCCACATTCCCTTAGCCCCACTCCCTCCTCCTTCATGGCATGCCTCAAGATCCTCCTCTTCAACCGTGCCTTCGGCACCCTCCTATCCTCTTTGCCCTCCACCCTTCCTGATCCCACCCTGCCGTTCAGGACCTAATCCCTGACTACTCAGAGCCTTGGGACATCCTCCCGATGTGAAAGGAACTTTACAAATGCAATTATGTTTTGTATTGTATTAGTAAGACAGGAGCAGGTTCATTAACATTTTTGTACTTATGGTCTCATGAATTTGTATTGCAGCTTTTGCCAAGATACCTACATAGGTTTTAGTGTGGGGCGAGACAAAGGAATGGAGGGAGGGAGTTCTTGAAAGTTAGAACAACAACAACTTGGAATTATATAGCGCCCTCCACGCCAGACGACGTCTCAGAGCGCTTCACAGTAACGGATCATGGGACCGAGCCAGGGGGAGGAAGGGGAAGGTGACCAAAGGCACAGTCAAAAAGAAAGGTCTTCAGCAGAAACCTGAAAAAAGGGAGAGAGTGAGATGAAGGGAGTGAGGAAGGCAGTTCCAGAGCCTCGGGGCATAGTGGCTGAAGGCACGACTGCCGAGGGTGGAGCGGAGGACTTGGGGGACGAGGAGGAGCCCAGACCCGGAGGAACAAAGGCAACAGGCACTGTTTTGAGGAGAGAGGTCTGAAGGTAGGGGGGTGCAGAGGAGTGCAGGGACTTGAATACGAGGGTGAGGATCTTGAAATCGATTCTCTCTGGGATAGGCAGCCAGTGCAGTCTGGCAAGGACTGGGGTGATCGGGGAGCGGAGTTTCGTGTGGGTGAGAATGCTGGCAGCAGAGTTTTGAATGATTTGGATTTTTTGGATGGTAGTGGAGAGGAGACCGACGAGGAGAGTGTTTGAATAGTCCAGCCAAGAGGTGACAAAGGCATGGACCAGGGTTTCAGTGGCTTTTGGGGAGAAGTGTTGGGGGAGACGGGCGATGTGTCAGAGGTGGAAGAAAGCAGTGAGGTTGAGGGATCAGATGTGGGGGAGGAAGGATAATTGGGGGTTGGGGGGATAATAGAAGGATAATTGGGGGGATAATAGAAGCTGAAGATTGGCTACAGATGTTGGGGGATGTGGGTGGGTGGGTGTGGGCACTGAAGCAGATGGGACACACACAACATGCCCATAGCAAGCGAGCAGATTAGAATAGAAGATCACACAGGTAAGGAGGTGCTCAGCCATGGAGGGATTTATAGGTAAGTTTGACATCCTTGTCAGAGAACCATAGAATTTTACAGCACAGAAGGTGGCCTTCGGCCCATCGTGTCTGTGCTGGCTCTTTGAAAAGAGCTATCCAATTCAATCTCACTCCCCCACCCTCTCCCCATAGCCCTACAAACGTGTCGTCCCCAAATAATTATCTACTTCTCTCTTAAAAGTGGTTATAGAATGACCCTTTCAGGCAATGCATTGGATCCAACAACAACAACTTGGATTTATATAGCGCCCTCCATACTGGACGGCGTCTCAGAGCGCGGGGTGAAAAAATGTCTCCTTACTTCCCCTCTGTTTGTAACAACTATTTTAAATCGGTGCCCTCGGGTTACCGCACCCCCCCCCCCCCAAGTAGAAATAGTTTCTCCTTGTTCACCCTTTCGAATCCACTCATAATTTTGAAAACTTCTATTAAGTCTCCTCTTAACCTCCTCTGCTCCAAGGAGAATAATCCTAGCTTCTCTAGTCTGCTTTTTTAACAGCTTTATCTACCTGTCCCGCCACCTTCAAAGATTTACTTATATGAACCCCCCGGTCTCTCTGTTCCTTCACCTCCTTAAGATTGTACCATCAGCTTATATTGCCTCTCCTCATTCTTCATCCCAAAATGCATCACTTCGCATTTCTTCACATTAAACTTCATCTGCCGCGTGTCCGCCCATTTTACCAGTCTATCTATGTCCATTTGCAGTCGCTACTATCCTCCTCACTGTTTACTACTTTTGCTCGCTTAGTATCATCTGCAAACTTGTACAATTGGAAATTGTACTCCCTATGCCCAAGTCCAGGTCATTTCTAGATTGCTGGGATGTCAGTGGAGCCTGACAAGAACTCGGGAGATTGGAGTTTGGTGCAGGTGAGGAAGCAGGAGCTGGAGTTTTGTATGAGCTGGAGCTTATGGCTGGTGAAACAAGGGAGACCAGAGAGGAGTGAGTTTCAGAAGTCAAACTCAGAAGTCAGAACAGTGTCAAAACAGCAGAGAGATCAAAGAGAACAAGAAGGCATAGAGAGCTGTGGTCGCAGATGCACAAGTTACGTTTCATCACAACTTTGTATCTTCTGCAAACCTCAGACAAGAAGTTCCTCACAGAGCAATAAATTTGTCAGTGCCACCAGCAAGACTAAATACCCTCAGCAGATTAAAAGCTCATCCCTTCCTTATACCTTTGTTTCATTAAAAAAAATTGGGCACTCAATCCACAACTTATTAAAAAACTATTTTATAACCGATCCACATTTTTATTCATGTGGTATCTCCAGCTGCATAGGACTAGATATTTCAGTTTGAAGAGACCCATATGTCAGGAATAGTAAAATGCCTTACCTAGACATATGAGAGTAATAATAATAATAATCCTTGCATTTGATATAGTGATTTATCATGTCTTTGAGACATCTCAAAGCATTTCACAGAATATACTGTAAAGTAGCTTGACTGAATATTTTGTGGGCGAAACATTGCAGCCGATTGGACACAGCATTGTCCCATAAACAGTTGGGCATTGAGTGAGCAAATTATTATTATTTTTATTTAGGGATTTTTATCCCCGGAAAAGCGATCTGCCAATCTACTAACAACTGGGTTCTTACTTACTGCTAGGTAAACAGAGGCATGTGGAATAAGGAAGCGTGCGTGTGTGCATGTGTTATTCCAAGCTTAATGAATTGGGTTTAAAACTATTTTGGTCAATTAAAACAGTCAGATATTGTATGTGTGATAATGTAGTTTTAATGGTGTTTTTAATGGAGCAACAATTAATCAACAAAATGCAGCTCAAGCATTAACATACTTTATAGCCCAGAATATATATGGTAGATTTTGGTATTTTTATTATCAGACATAAACAGCTGAGAATAGTCTCAGTAGTCTTGTCATTGGCCAGGACCATGAGTACAAGGCCCTTTCCAATGACAATACAGCTGAGACTATTCTGGAGCATGTTGTTCTCACTCGCAGGACATCATTCTGTCTGCAGCGTGATGACAATTGTCCCTCAATAGAGAATATGTTGAACCACCAGCTCGTACAAAATCTCCCACTGTTCTTCCATGCACTGGTGTATCTTCCACTACCTGAAAAATTAAGGTAAGTGTGAATATTATAATCTTTATCCTGATTTTCACTTTGATACAATCTTGACCGCGCTCTCGGCATTGTTTCACCCCCTTGCCCTTACTCCCTCAGCCCACATCCAGCTCGAGTGCTATCCCTGGACTGTCAAGCACCCTGGCAGGTCCTGCCAACATGAAAGGCACTGTAAAAATGTAAATTTGTTTGGTATTGATTTAATTGTCACATACCCTCCATCGATCTGACATGTGATTGGCATCAGTAACTACAGTCTGAGATGTGCGGCCAAAGCCATCTCCTTTGTGAATCAGCCAAGATTCTCCAGTATCTGTTGTTACTCTGAAAGAGAAAAATAATTAATAGTAATATTAATCATTGCATTTGATGTAGCACCTTTCACTTTAGGAGGACGACTCACAGTGTTTGAGATGATTTACTTTAAAGTGTAGTGACTGTGAATTTGGATCAAATCATATAAATGCTTGCTGCCAATCCTAAGCAAAATTAGGCCTTAGAACCATTTCAAAAAAATTTTTACTGTAGCTTTACTGCAGTTGTGAGTAAAAAAAACTCACACCAAACACCTGTACTTAGTGAAAGCCTCTTCTGTATGTTATTTGTCTGGACTATCTCCTTTTTTTCTTTAATTGGGGTGACAGCTCTACTGGTTTATCTTGAAATGCTCACCAATAAAATTGTCCCACAAAAGAGTGAGAATATGAAATAAGTTACACTTACACAGCAACTTTGACAACAAAAATGTCTCAAAGCACTTTACAAAAATATAATGGAAGCAAAGCAGGGTAGCAAAGTGTATGTGTGTGTGGTGATGTGGGTGGGGCTGGGGTTTGATGTCTATATGTGCGGACAAAGAGAGAGGTTTTTAGTTGGGCTTTGAAAGCAGAGAGTGAGGTAGCAAAGTTGAAAGATTTCGAAAGAGTTCAAGAGCAGGGCCAAGAAGTGTGTTTGTTCACTGATGATAGTCGGGTTGGAGAGTGGCATGAAACAGGCATGGCACAGTGGAGAGTAGTGGTTGGGGAATAAGACCACAGAAGATTGTAGAGGAAGAGTGGGGTTAAGCCATTAGGCATTTGCAGGTAGGGACAAGGATCTTAAATTGATTTCAAGGGGAGATAGAGAAACAGTGGAGGCAGGTGAGAAAGGGTGTAATGGGCTTTGTGTGGGAGAGAACATGGGCAGAGGAAGTCTAGATGAAATGGAGCTTGAGGAAGGCAGAGCTGGGGAGGCCAGTGATCAGAGCAGTGTAGGACAGGAAGGTATATCCAGATTTTTCACTTAGGTTATTCATTGGCATAGTTTATCCAGAATCTTAATTGTGGGACATTCACATATTATATACAAATCTCCATTCTGTTATCTGCAAAACATATAGTGGTTTTGCTTGTGTGGGATAATCTCAGAGCATAATTGAGCTAACATTATCAATGCAGAATATCTACTTGAATTAGCTTACCTTACTCCTGAATGACTAAAAGGTCCAAGCATCCAAGATAAAGAACCCAAAGGTCTCCTGAGACTCTCAGCTCTCACCACAGGTGTATTATACAGCCTGGTGAGTTCAGATTGGCGTGTTATGTCATGGGGAAATGCCTCTGTTTGTCTTTGGCCTATAAAATATAGAGTTTAATTCAGAATTATGAATTGTTCTCATTAATGCAAAACTCGCTCAACCATAATGTTTGACAATGGGATCACATCACAGCTTGCAATTTTCACTTTACAATTATTTATTTTCAGAACAAAGCTTGCTTGAAAAGTGAGCATGTGGCAATTTAACAATCATGTCAGTAATAAATTTTGTTGTTGTAGTAGATTGAAGCAAATTGGAAATATTGAAATACTCACTAGAAGATGCATTAGCAGCAACAAAGCACAGCACGAAAAGCAATATCAGCTGCATGGTCCTCTCACAGTAAGTGCCTAATGAGCAGGAAACATAGTTAAACAAACACAACCAAATCTACCCAAATCTAATTTGACCCTTGATTCCACTGATGTTCTGACCACCTACTATCAAGTTCTGAATGAGCCTCAAATGTCTTTATCCAAAGATGAATGAGATGGAAGCCATCCACCTTGGGGCCTTCCAATGGTTCCTTGCTCTAACTTCCTCAACCTGCCTTGCCTTTCTCTCCAACTCACTGAACCAGGTTGCAACATTGGTATTTCATTTGAAGCTCAGCTCCTTTCCTCCCTTACATCTGGTCCCTAAACTAGACTGCTTTTCTGTATCTCCACCAAATGGTTCGTGTCTGTTTTTATCCCATATTCAATGCTGCGGAAACACTCATTCATGACTTTGTCTCCTCAAGACTTGATTTTTTGAATGCCTTTCTCAACACAGATATTATTGAAGGTGCTGTCCTTCAGGTGAGACATGAAGCCAACAAACTGTCGGTCTGTTCTTCAGGTGGACATTAAAGAACTCATGACAGGATTTTAAAAATGGCAGTCTGTCCTGCTGTGCTGGTCAACAGTCCTCCAGGTAAATTAATGAATCAAACATCTCATCGTTGTTTGTGAGACTTTGCTGTGTGAAATATACCTGCCATGTTTGCCTACAAATAAATCTCTGTAACCTGGCAATAATACTGTGTCTGTAATAGATTTAAGATGTTTCTACTCAATGAGGCAATATTAACAAATGCAAATTCTTTCTCCATATACATCATAGAAAATCCTCTATTTGCTGAAACACTGGATGTGTATTGCATTAGAATCATAGAATTATACAGCACAAAAGGAGGCCATTTGGACCATCGTGTCGTGCCAGCTGTTTGAAAAGAGTTACCAAATCAAACCCATTCCCCCGCTCTCTTCCCATAACCCTGTAAACTTGTCCTTCCCAAATAATTATCTACTTCTCTATTAAAAGCTGTTATCGAATCGGCTTCCACCGCCCTTTCAGGCAATGCATTCCAGATCTGAACAACTCGCTGTGTGAAAAAATTTCTTCTCACCTCCACTCTGTTTCTTTCAACAACTATTTTAAAACAGTGTCCTCAGGTTACCGACCCACTGCCAGTGGAAATAATTTCTCCTTGTTCACCCTATCAAATCCCCTCATAATTTTGAAAACTTCGATTAAGTCTCCTCTTAACTTTCTCTGCTCCAAGGAGAATAATCGTAGCTTCTCTAGCCTCTCCTGATAACTGAAGTTCCTCAACCCTGGTACCATCCTGGTAAATCTCCTTTTTACCCTCTCCAATGCCTTGACATCTTTCCTAAAGTGCCCAGCACTAAGCATAATATTCTAGCTAAGGTCTAACCAGTGTTATATAAAGGTTCATCATAACTTCCTGACTTTTGCATTCTAGGCCCCTTTTGCATTCACCACCATTCTCTGCTTTCTGTCTCCCAGCCAGTTCTATATCCATGCTGCCACTGTCCCTTTAATACCGTGGCTTTTATTTTGCTTACAAGTCTCTTATGTGGCACTTTATCAAACGCCTTTTGAAAATCCATATAAACTACATCAACTGCACTACCTTCATCCACCCTCTCTGTTACTTCATCAAAAAAACTCTATCAGGTTTGTTAGACATGATTTGCCTTTAACAAATCTGGGTTGGCTGTTCTTTATTAACCCATATTTTTCTCAGGAAAAAATTATTTTGTCCTGGATTATAGTCGCTAGAAGTTTTCCCACTACTGATGTTAGGATGACTGGCCTGTAGTTCTCCGATTTATCCTTCTGCCCCTTTTTGTACAGGGGAGTAACATTTGTAACCCTCCAGTCCTCTGACACCACCCCAGTGTCCAAGGAGGATTGAAAGATTGTGGTCAGAGCCTCCGTTATTTCCATCTTTACTTCCCTCAGTAACCTAGGATGCATCCCTTCCGGACCGGGTGACTTATCTACCTTAAACACCGACAACCATTTTAGTGCCTCCTCTCGGTTTTTTCTTATCTTATCCAATATCTCTACCCTCTCCTCTGATACTGTGGTATTGATTACATTTTCTTCTTCTGTGAAGACAGATACAAAGTATTCATTCAGTATGTCAGCCATGCCCTCTGCCTCCACAAGAAGATTTCCTCTTTGGTCACTAATTGGACCCACCCTACCTTTGACTAACCCTTTATTCTTTATATGCTTATAAAATACCATAGGGTTCCCTTTTATGTTATCTGCTAATCTTTTCTCATACAATCTCTTTGCCCCTCTTATTTTCTTTTTCAGTTCTCCTCTGTACTTTCTATATTCTATTTGATTATCTTCTGTATTTTGCACCTGCCATTTATCATAAGCCTCCTTTTTATGTTTTACTTTAATCCCAATTTCCTTAGTCATCCAGGGAGTTTTGGATGTCCTGCCTTTCCCCTTTGTGGGAATGTATTTGTTCTGTCCCTGAACTATTTCCTGCTTGAAGGTTTCCATTGCTCATTAGCTGTTTTACCTGACAATCTTTCTTTCCAGTCCACCTTGACTAGGTCGTTTTTTAACTCACTGAAATTGGCCCTCTTCCAGTTGAGTATCTTCACCTTTGATTGTTCCTTGTTCCTTTCCATAAGTACTCTAAACCTATTGATGTTGTGATCACTGTTGTCCAGATGCTCTCCTACTGAAACCTGCTCCACTTCATTCCCCAGAACTAGATCCAGCACAGCTTCCTTCCTCATTGGGCTGGAAACATACTGATCCAGAAAGTTATCCTGCACACATTTCAGGAATCCTTCCCCCTCCTTGCCCTTTACACTGTTATTTTGTCAGTCTGTGTTAGGATAACTGAAGTCCCCCATTACCACTACTCTATTGGTTTTGCATCTTTCTGAAATCTGCTTGCAGATTTGCTGATCTATCTCCTTCCCACTATTTGGTGGTCTGTAATATATACTTAACAGAGTGCAGCTCCTTTTCTGCTCCTTAACCTTAACCAAATAGGTTCTGTTTCAGACCATTGCCTCTGTTTTTGGTCCCTTTCCTGGGCCGTATCCATGTCTTTAAACAATATTGTCACACCCCACTCCATTTTTTACCTCCCTATCCCTCCTGAATATATTGTAGCCACAAATATTCCCATTCCTGCCCTTGTTTGAGCCAGATCTCCATTATTGCTACTGCATCATAAGCCCATGTGGCAACTTGAGCCTGCTGCTCATCAATCTTATTTGTCACACTCCGTGCATTTACACACTTGCACTACAAGACCGATTGAGTCTTCTCTGCATTTTTCCCCTGTCTAATCCCTCCTTTATTGGACTAGTCCTTATTACATTGCTATTCGTGGAGTCCTGTAGCTCAGTGGTTAGAGCTCTCATTTTGCAAGTGAGAGACCTGAGTTCAATTCCAGGCAGGGCGAAACCTTGGGCAAGTTTCCTTACTCCACACGTCGAATAATAATCCCTCCAAAACCCAAAACAATAATAAATTGGTCATTTTCAATCTACGCCTGTTTGTGGGACATTGCTGTGCGCAATTGGCTGCCGCGTTCACCCACAAATATACAGTCAATTCACTTTACAGTGTGTTCTGTGAAGCGCTTTGGGAGGTCCTCCTGACGTGAAAAGCGCTATATCAAATGCAAGGATTATTATTATTATTATTCATCTCTCCCAGTCCTCTATGTAACTTGCTTCCCCTCCTTGATGCTATATCCTGATTCCCTTCCCCCCTCGAAATTAGTTTAAAACTTTGCCCATAGCGCTAGTTAACCTTCCTGTGAGGACATTGATCCCAGTCCTGTTTTGGTGTAACCCCTTCACCATGTTCAGGTTCCACCTGCCCCAGAACTGGTCCCAATGTTCCAGGAACCTGAAGCCCTCCTTTCTGCACCATTTATCCAGCCGTGTATTCATGTGCTTGATCCTGCTGTTTTGATAATCACTTGCACGAAACAATGGGAGCAATTCAGAGATCACCACCTTTGAGGTCCTATTCTTTATCTTTTTCCATTGCTTCTGATATTCTCCCTGTAGGATCTCAGCCCTTTTTTCCCTGACATCATGGATCTCAACATGGACAACAACTTCTGGATGTTTCTCTTCCCCCTGTGGGATGTTTAGTACCTATTCCATGATGTCTTCAACCCTGGTACCAAGGAGGCAACATACCATGCGAGTGTCACGTCTTTGGTTGCAGAAACATCTGTCTACTCCTTTCACCATTGTGTTCCCAATGACAATTGCATTGATACTCTTCCCTGTGTCCCCCTGTGCATCCATTTGCTTTTGACTCCTTTCCCCAACAGTGTCATCACCCTCACTGATATTCAGTACAGAGAACCTGTTTGTGAATGCCACACACTCAGGGGATTTCTGCATTTCCTACCAAGCCAGGTGGTCACCCACCCACTCTCCTTCTGAACCTTCTATGACTGTGGGGTGACCACCTCCTGAAACATTCAATCCATGAACTCTTCTGCCTACCGTATGCTATGCAGCTCAGGGTTCTTGAGCTTGAGGAGAGACTTACATATTTTATAATTATGCACCTCTTTCCCACTCGTACCAGCCTCTCTTCAAGCTCAGAAACCCTGAGCTCAAGCAGCCAGAGGCACTTCCTACACATGTTTATCCAGGGCACACAAAGCGTCCTGGAGTTCCACATGGCACACATTGTGCATGCAGCCAATCTCAGCTGCCCTGCCATATTTCCAGATATGTTTTATATTATTTTAATATAACTTTTACATATTTTATAAATATGCACTCTTTCCCACTCTAACCAAATTCCTTAACAGAATTATCACTCTGCTCTACCTCAATCAGTTCCCTTTACTGTACTGCTGGGCTCTTTGCTCAAGTGAGGCTCTTGCAAGTCCTCTGCTTTATATAGGACTCAAACAAAAACACCCAGTTTTGACTAGTCAGCAAATTTATTAATCCCAACACCTGATCTGTGGTTAACTGCTAATCGACTTGTTTGCCTGCTTACATATATGGTTGCCTCTACGTTGAGAAAGATTTCCCACTCATCTGCTGAATGAAAGAGTTCTCTCTTGGTCTCTGGCATCTCTCTTAGTGAAGAATTCCCACTCTCACCAAATTCCTTAACAGATTTCTCACTCTGTTCCCCTTCACTCAGTTCCTTCCTCATGTTGCTGGGCTTTCTGCTCAAGTTCTAACAGTTAGCAAGTTACAGAACAATCAATATCAAAGATTAAAACAGGAGTAAAAGAGCAAATTTTGAAGCATCATCAGCTTTATGATAAGAAGCATTACCGAGGCTCAGTGCCTTGCAATGGAGCAGCAAGCCAATGGCTTACCTGAGGATAATGAAAAGAAAAGAAGCAGCTTGTTTTCCTGTCACTTTTTTCTCTGTTTTCTCTCTTACTCTCTTGCCAACCTCCTGGTTCTCACTGTTGCTCTATATGCCTGGATTTATAGAGCTTTTAGAGCTTCACTTACATCATGACTAATGGGTGTAACTATGATGATTTATGTAAAGACCGAGAAGTACAACATTGTGAATAAACACAAAAAAGTTTCTGGTAAGTAGTGCTGTGTTGACAAAACCTTTCAAAACTTGCTCCATAGCATTGCAAGCATTGACCTTGTTCCTGTTATATAAAAAAATCTGTTTTGTAATCCCTTTAGGTCAGCCCTTATAGCGTTTAGATATATTTAGAATTGAAGATGTAATCTGTTTTACTGTCACTGTTGGTAATTTACTGCTGTAGCTCATGTATATTCTTGATGAAAATTATTTGATTCTGTCTTGGCTAATTAAGAAAATACCTGGTTCAATTGTTTTAGACTCAAGTCACTGAAGTATTGTTTATCGTTCTATGGAGAAGATGGACACTGTATTTTAGTAGTTAGTCCATGCTGAATTGATAATCCTAAAGTAAATTTATGAATAATAAAATTTGTGTTACCCAAGAGATAATGCACAGTAAACATATCGAGACTGCTCTGTTTACGAGAGTTGTGAGAAAAAGTTAAATGAAAACTTCACCAAAAGTGTGTCATAACCTAATTGGAAGCAGGAGAAATTCATATAATTTTGTAACATTATCCCAAACCTACTTCATTTTTCTTTTCCTCAGACCTGCTTTGGACATAAAAAAAATCTACAAGTTTATAGGAAAAAAAATCTATTACTCCTTTCAACCTTCTATGAAAACTTTATAAAATCTATAACTCCAATGCATTGCTGTGGGAGAGGCATTCAACCAAGGTCCTGTCTGACAGTTCAGGTAGACTTTAAAGATCCCATGGCACTATTTGAAAAGAAAAGGAAGTTTCTCCCTGTATTCTGGACAACAATCCCCAAATAAAATTGTTCACTCACTCTATGCCTGTTTGTGGTACATTGCTTTGTGCAAATTGGATGCCCTGTTCTCCTGCAGTCACTGTACTTTACAATAAATCCTGTGAAGTCCTTTGAGATATCTTGTTGACATGATGAAGAATTATATCAAGTCCAAGGATGATAAGATCTTCTTGGATTTTCTCAATTGAAGTATGTTCCACTATGGTTGTGTCAGTAAATTCAGCTGAATCACTTGTGGTGATCCGAGGGCCTGAAACACCACCTGGTCTTGGTTTGAAGACAATTGCCTTAAAAAGTAAGATCATGCAGAATATTGGCAGATACATTTAGTCTTAAATGTAGCCTGTGGTTATTAAGAGGATAAGAGAAAAACTGGTTTCTAAATTAAGTGTGAATTTGAGGCTTTTCCAAAATTCTGAATCGTGTTAGATTTTAATTCAGTGGTCTTATTTTTCATAAACTTTTAATTTGATATATCACCTTTGAAGTCAGGAGGATGTCCCAAAGCACTTCACAGGGTTTATTGTGAAGTGGAGTGACTGTGTATTTGTAGGCAATTGTAGCAGCTCCATAATTCATAGTAATGTCTCACAAAGAACGATGAAACAAATGACCAATGTATTTGGAGGACTATTGGCCAGAACACTACGAGAACCTCCTTTCTCTGCTTGGGAGAAACTTAAATCATGACTGAAGCTCTGCCTTCTTCAAATCCAAAACAAAGGGCTTCTTTCATTGATATTAACTAGAATGTAGCAAACTAATGACATATGGAAGTAAGGTGCATGTGAAAGTTATTGCACTTTTATTTGCATTCATCTGAAATCTGAAGCTCGCTTTCAAATTAACTTTTGGGATTTGATCCAACACTCATTCATAAGAACACAAGAATTAGGAACAGGAGATTCGGCCCCTCGAGCCTGCCCCGCCATTCAATAAGATCATGGCTGATCTATTCTAACTCCACCTACCCGCCTTAGCCCCATATCCCTTAATCCCTTTATCCACAAGAAATCTATCAATCTCAGTCTTGAATATGTTCAAGGACTGAGCATCTACAGCCCTTTGGGGTAGAGAATTCCATAAATTCTCTCTGAGTGAAGAAGATTTTCCTCAGCTCAGTGCAAAAGGGCTTACCCCTAATTTTAAGACTGTGACCTCTGGTTATAGTTTCTCCAACCAGGGGAAAAAGTCTCCCACTATCTATTCTGTCGTGCCCCTTTATAATCCTATAGGTTTCTATAAGATCACCTCTAATTCTTCTATATTGCAGAGAATATAGGCCTAAATTGCTCAACCTATCCTCATAACTCATCCTCCTCATCACAGGTACCAACCCAGTGAATCTACGTTGTACACCCTCCAAGGCGAGTACATTCTTTCTTAAATAAGGAGACCAAAACTGCACACAATACTCTCGGTACGGTCTCACCAGGGCCCTATACAGTTGCAGCAAGATTTCCCTACTCTTATATTCTAACCCTTTTGTAACAAATGCCAACATACCGTTAGCCTTCCTAATTGCTTGCTGTACCTGCAAACTAACTTTTTGTGACTGGTGTACAAGGACACACAAGTCCCTCTGAACGCTAACACTATCTAGTCTCTCCCCTTCTAAATTTTTTTTTTTTTTTTTTACACAGCTGGGCTTCACCAAGTATTGATAAAAGACTCAAAGCTGGGGAAGAGGTGTCCGTCTCACTGAAACATTGCCTGTCTCTGCAACTACCTCTCCCATCGAGCAGCCATGATCTGAATCCACGCTTTTATCACATCCATATTTGTCACCCCCATCCTCACCCGGCTTCACTGGCTCCCTATCCCCTATCAGATTGAGTTCAAGATTCTCATTCACACTTTTCAATCCCTCCACGGTCTCGCTGTACACTACCTCACCAAATGTCTTAACCAAACTATCCCGGCCACCTATTCACACGCTTGCTTCATATCCCTGCCATATCCATTGCATCATCAATGATCGGGCTTTCAGCCATTCTGGCACTTCTTTTGGAACTTCATCCCAGCGACCTTCTGACTGATTCCCTTCCTCATCTCTTTCAAGACAAGTCTCAAAACTTGTTGTGTTATAGGTCCAGCTGGGATACAGAAATTATAATAGGTTAGGCCATATACAGGAATATACATACAGGTATAGCTACTGCACCAAATGTAAACACATGACAGCTGTCCTCTGAAGGTTAACCATTGTTGCATTGGTCACATCGGGGTTCAGGTCAAGTTCCTTGTTCAAATATGCTGGATTTTACCATAATAAAAGTTGAGTAAAAGGCTTTCAGTAAATCTGTTAATTCCCAAACCTGATGCGTTGTCCTTCATCCCTCTTGAGTATTGCCTTACAAAGCTGAACCTTCTGACTTTTTGGTAAATGCCAGTTTTATTTACAGGAAATTAACATCAAATAATGTTTCAACAGATGAATATCTTAGATAAGGTCAGTCAGGTATTAGAGATCAGAAAAGAACACCTGACTTGAACATCTAGATAAGTAAACAGAACAAGAGGACACAGGTTTTGAGTTGCCAAGTGCAATTTCAGGACAGACACCAGGATGTATTTCATAACCCTGACAATAATTAACTACTGCAACATGTTACCAGAAAGAGTGGTTAAAGCCAGGTTGCTTGACACATTTAAAAAACAGCTTGATGCTGTGATGTGATCGGAGGGTTGGTATGGTGTGTGTTCTAAAAAGATGAGATCAAAAAATGAAATAATATCAGTGAAAGAATCCCTTTATTTTGAACTTGAAGAAGGCAGAGCTTCGGCCTTTGTTTTAAGTTTCTCCCGAGCAGAGAAAGGAGTTTCTCGTAATGTCCTTGACAACAGTCCCCCAGATCCACCTGGTTGTTCATTTCATGGTTCTTTGTGGGACATGGCTTTGTATAACAATAATATGAATATGAATAATATTAATAATAATAAATCTTGCATTTGATATAGAGCGTTTCATAAGAACATAAGAAATAGGGGCAGGAGTAGGCCATTCAGCCCCTCGAGCCTGCCCCACCATTTAACAAGATCATGGCTGATCTACTAACCTAATTCCATTTACCAGCCCTATCCCCATATCCCTTAAACTCTTTAGTTTTTAAAAATCTATCAATCTCACTCTTGAATATGTTCAATGACTGAGCAGCCACTGCCTTCTGGGGTAGAGAATTCCATAAATTCACTACCCTCTGAGTGAAGAAATGTTTTCTCAACTCAGTTCTAAAGGGCTGACGTTTAATCCTGAGGCTATGACCCCTAGTTTTAGATTCTCCAACCAGGGGAAACTGTCTCACACTATCTACCCTATCAAGACCCTTAAGAGTCTTATACGTTTCTATAAGATCACCTTTAATTCTTCTACATTCTAGAGAATATAGGCCTAGTTTACGCAACCTTTTCTCGTAGGTCAACCCCCTCATTCCAGGAACCAACCTAGTGAACTTACGTTGCACCCCCTCTAAGGCGAGTATGTCCTTTCTTAGATAAGAGAACAAAACTGCACACAATATTCCAGGTGCTGTCTAACCAAGGCCCTATACAATTGCAGCAAGACTTCCCTACTGTTGTACTCTAACCTCTTTGCAATAAACGGTATTAGCCTTCCTAATTGCTTGCTATACCTATATACTAACTTTCTGTGATTAGTGTACAAGGACACCTAAATCCCTCTGAACACTAACACTATCTAGTCTCTCCCTCTCTGGAAAATAATCTGCTTTTCTATTCTTTCTACCTAAGTGAATAACTTCACACTTCCCCACATTATACTCCATCTGCCACCTTCTTGCCCACTCATTTAACCTGCTTATATCCCTTTGCATCCTCCATGTGTCCTCCGCACAGCTTACTTTCCCACCTAGCTTTGTATTGTCCACGAATTTAGATACATTAAGCTCTATTTCCTCATCTAAATCATTGATGTAGACTGTAAACAGTTGAGGCCCAAGCTCTGATCCTTGTGGCACTCCACTAGTCACAACCTGCCAATCTGAGAAGGACCCGTTTATCCGTACTCTCTGTTTTCTGCCTGTTAACCACTCTTCAATCCATGCTAATATATTACCCTTTATTCCATGAGCCCTAATCTTATGTAACAACCTTTTATGTGGCACCTTGTCGA